TGTATGCACACAAATAAATGCCACGTGCACATCTGCCCTCATGTCACATGCTAGCATACCACTCCCCACACAAATTTCAGACATTAAAAGCAAAGGGTCAGTTATAAGAAATACTCCCTTTCAAGGAAATGCATCTTTCTCTCTAGTTCTGTTTTGTTTTGGTTTTCCTAGATAGGTTTCTCTGTGTGTAGCTTTGGCTGTCTGGGAACTCACTCTGTAGACCAGGCTGGCCTCGAACTCACAGAGATCTGCATGCCTCTGCCTCTGGAGTGCTAATATTAAAGGCGTGTACCACCACCATCTGGCTAGCAATCATCATATTTTAAGAACAGTTGTTTCACCAGTTTTAAACTACTGTCAGTTTCTTTAGTTAATCAATTTGGTTAGACTGATCCTTGAATCTAACTTAACTTTAAAAAAATCCTAATTTAGAAAACAAAACTGTTTAGCTGTGTTAGAGCTAAATACTTAGAATGTAATACATGTAACCATATTATAATTTCGGGACTTGGAGTCCAGGTGACCTTGGAAACCCTTGTGTGACTTCTGACAGGAAAATCATTTGTCTGCGTCATCTGTGCCATCCTTCTTTCACTCCACCACCCTTGGCTCTCCTGTTTTAATTTTACTCTCCTGCTTCCTACAGCAGGAAATTTTTCTCAAGAAACTTTACTCTTTAGCGTCTGAGAACAAAAATGCTTTTGCGTTCTCTGATTACATATTTGCCTTTTTAAATATTCCCCTTCTTTCCCAAGCCTGATCTACCATCCAAGACTTTGAGAAAATGATTTTTTGGGGTAGTGGGTAATAGGATATCCGCTCCTCAGAGCTGATTTTCATAAGGTTTATGGCACTTTCCACTCACAGCGATTCCATCGTGTGCGGTGCTGTTGAGTGGCTCAGGCCGGCGGTGTTTGTACAGAGGTTGGTTTATAACGTTTGATCCTGTGTTTTAAGAAAGCTGTGGCACATGAGAGGAAGGGACACAAATGCCACCTGTCCTCAGTTTACAAACTGTAAAGCTACCATGTAAACGACTAGCTGGTTTTTAGGAAAATTGGCAGGACACTTTTAATTCATTAGTTGTTGAAAGAAAACATAAATTTGAAAAATTAAAAAGCAATAAAATACCTTGTGCTCGAAGAGGAATAGACAAGTCAGTGGCTGTGTGATTTGGAGGTATGGCAGCCAAGCCTCCAGCCAAACACAAGGGCTTCCGCTGAGCAAGGGGTCCCGTGGGACTAAGCAGCTCTGTCAGTCACACACCTGTAACGCTACCCCCTTCCAAACAAGACAGCAGTGAAGAGGAAAAGGAAAAAATCTGTTGCTGGTGAACTTCTCTGCTCTCCAGCTCTCCTGCTCTTATCTCAGGTGTGAGCCTCTCTCAAGGGGGTGCTGTTGTGCCAGAGGAGAAAGTGACACCAGCAGCTGGAGGGGCGCCACAAGGAGGGCAGTCAGCCAGGGGGAGAGGGGATGGAGAGAAGGGCTTTCAGAGATGATAGGAGAATAGGAGAGAGAGCAGTCAGCCAGGGGGAGAGGGGATGGAGAGAGGGGCTTTCAGAGAGGATAGGAGAATAGGAGAGGGGATGGAGGCAATGCCTTCTTAAATGACCTGGAGATGGGGTGTCATGGAGGGATGAACTTGGGAACCTCCACCTTCCTAGTTGTCGGGAGCCGCTCCCGCCATTACAAGATGGCGCCGGCTTCCTGCTTCCTGGTTCTTCTTGCCAGCATTTTCGCGCTTCTTGCCTGCGCCGCCCTGCAGTTTACGCATGCGCAGCTTTATGCTAATGAGGGTTTAGGCTGCACTCCAATTGCCAGCCATATGCTTATGAAGACTTGAACAGAGCACCAATTACAGACGGACAGGTCGCGCTGCTGGCTATTTAAGCAGAGCACAACCCGGGGTTTGGGTCCTTCACCATCTGCAAGAAAGAGCTGTTCAATAAACTTGCCGCTGAAGAAATCCTCGGTTGTTGCGTCGTCCTTATCGGCAAAGGCCGCGCGCGACACCTAGTAGTGTATTACAGTTCCTTAGCCTCTCTGACTCCCTTTTCACCATGGTAAATGGTGGTAAACACCTTGTAAAGGTTATTATGTGGATGAGAACTCAAGGGGAAAAAATACAGTACCCAGTGCCTAGTACCCAGTGTCATTTTTCCCCCCTCTGAGTAAATACAGTGGGGATGGGTGGGAAGACTCCAGTGTCAGGGTTTGGTGGGGTTTAGGGTGTGGGGCAGCAGTAGGGAATCTACAAAGCTTGTTGAACCTTCTAAGAGCTGGCTGCCTCTCCATGACCCTCCTCAGCTGCCGGGTGCTTTGGGATTGTTGCCAATGAAGAAATGCATCTTTTCCCCAGACAGGGCAAGGGGCAGTCTGTAGGAAGTCAGTTCACAGCGGAGTTCAGTTCCAGCACTGAAAGTGGGCCAACCCTCACCCACACTGCGGAGATGAGAGAGCAGCTGGGGGCAGGCGGCAGTGTCCATGCTGTGGGGTCTCTAGGCAGCGTACTCACAGATGTACAGTGTCTGTTGTGAGATTTTGTAATTTGTCTAGTTTCCCCAGTTACATCTCCATGACATGTGGAGAATGTGGCCAAAGCCATCTTATGTGGTTTCCTCACTTTGTTTTGATTTTTTATTTGTTGCTTACAGTATTATCTCCAGTAACAACCAAGGAATTTCCTTCCCCACTAATCTGGTCTATTTCCATTCTGACTGTTTATTTTTAATTTCCTTTTTCTTGGCTTGAAACCTCCCCTTGACTCTGCCTTGTTTATTTCCTTGCATGTGTGAGCATCATTTTTCAGCATGTCCCTTCGGAGCAACTTTGTCCATCCTTAATTGTGTAGGTTGCGTTTTCCTGAGCCCTAATGTGGGTATGTATGTGCTTCAGCACGAAGGGCTGGCTGCCATTCTACTCGGGCTTGCTGTCCACGGCTTCCAGAAGGAGCATGTGAGGGCCTAAGGCAGAGAAAGACCTTCTCTGTAGAGAGACTTGTCTCAGTTTCTCTGATGTCACCCCCACTCTCTCGTTGACCTCATTTTCCATTTAATCTTATTTATCAGTTGGTTACATGACCGTAAAACCCGGCTTTTGCAGATGTGCTCAATTCTCTGAAGCCAGAGCCACAAAAACCAGCGTTAACCAGTGATCATTTCCATCTTGCAAGATTAGCCACTTGGAATACATGCTGAATCTAGACTCGTTCCCTCATTATGAAGTTAGCCCACTAAGCCTATGAGGCTTGAGGAGATAAGTGACTTTAGTATTTCTTATGTGAATTGGCAAAACGCTGACCCTTTTTTTAGTTCTGGATTGTCATGAGTTACTGAATTATTGGATTGACATTCATTTAACATATACATGCTCTAGATAGGATACATCTACACTCTCAAGATACTTAAAGGACTTGAAGGGGAAAATGGAGTTGAAAGCAAGTAAATCCAATAAAGCCTCATATGTGTGACACAATCTGCAGGTCTATCCACACATAGAGAGGTCCCATTAAATCTCTTGGGGTGTGGACTAGAGGGAACAGATTCTCTTTCTCTCTCTCTCTCTCTCTCTCTCTCTCTCTCTCTCACACACACACACACACACACACACACACGTGCACGCACACACATGCATGTGTACACACACACACACACCAAAACAAAAAAACCAAAAACAAAAATTAAAATGACTGGATGTCTGTGGGATCCATATGTGTTTTTAAATGGTCAAAGGAGTATGGCCTAGGTCATGAGTCAGGGGTCAGCAGTGCGTTCTCAGAGTAAGAAAAGGGAGGTGTAAGGAACCAGGTACAAAGGGCCCCAGCTGCTATGTGAAAGAGTTTGGGTTTATGCTCCAAGAAAATTTTAAGTAAGCAGAATATCATGAACAGATATCCTTTGTGTAAACAGCACCCTAAGAAGGGTGTATTTGTGGGGCTTGCCTGGAAGCAACAAGGTCCCATAGGACAGTGCGGTACCAAAGCAGGCTGTAATGTGATTCTGACAAGAGCTGAAGAAGACCTAGAATAAGGATTCACTGAAAAAAAAAAATCTTGTTTGGCTTCAGCAATGAGCCCAGAGCCTAAGAAGGCAATGTAGCTGATGAACCCTAGTGAGAACCTTCCTTCCTGCTTCCCTCACAGCTGTTCCTGTTTTCCTTCTGTTTATTGGTGGGACTCTCATCCGAGGTAGCACACGCTGGGTGTGTGCCCAGCCACCCTCCAGCCCTTCATCACAATTTGGAACATCATTCTTGTGGCATTCCACACATTATATTGTACTATGCCACATTATTAAAGCTTGTTTATAACCTTTCTGCCCTGGAGCCTTAGGCCTCAGTGATTTGAGAACAAAATGACTGAATTATTTGTGTGTACCTAGCAAAGAGCTGTGTATGCACAGCTGGCCAGGGTGTGTTTGAGGAGTAAAACTCTCAATGCTTTAGCCAACGTTTCTTTCAAACTGTCTGTGAAACACAGAATATGAAAGGACCATTTTCAGTTCTCCTCCCCAGGGTCCAGAGCAAAATGGCAAGAAATATAATAAGCAGATATATATTTTTATTTCCTGTGACATTTGTATCACAGATGCTACAGAGAGGGCTCAGCCATGTAAAGCCCTTACCGCTCTTGCACCGATCTCTGGCACCTCAAAACCACCTGTAGCTCCAGTTCCAGGGTGTCTGTTGCCCTCTACTGGCATCCAAGGGTACCAGCTCCCATGTGCACATATCCCTCCATATAATTAAAAATAAAATCTTTAAAAAAATAAAGTTTATGTTACTGCCCACTCTCAAGATGCGTTCCTATTCTTCCAGAAGCATACGTTATAATACCAGTAATAAATATTTGAAGATAAAAAGTGGCCATAGGAGTAATGCCTGCTGTGGTATTGTCTTCATTGGTTTTACTGTCCAAAAATTGAACACAGTAATTTGGTTTCATATCTTCTCAAATATAATTTTTTTATTTTAATCTATATCGTATTCTATTCTTCCACCAGATCCGTAATGCCTCCTGCTTGCCTCTTTCAAGATGGAGGGGAAAACTATGGGAGAGCCTACTCAAGTGGTGTCTAAAGTCAAACTTTCCACAAAAGTAGAAAACCCAGGCCACTGGCTGGTGGAAGATCATGCTCGAATATGGGAAGTCTTAAAGACAGAAGAGGTAAGACAAGGCTAAATGACAGAGCTGTGTAATGATGGATTTGCTCATTCCTGAGACTAGAAAATTCCCTGTGTAGCTGTTACCCCATGCCAGCTTGAAAGTCTGTTCAGGGACCATAGGCACAGCCAAGATTGGAGAACAATAAGCCAGAGATATGTCTCTTGAACATTGTTAATAACACAGTGATTCAGGTAAAGGAGCCAATAACATTAACAACCAAAGCATGCAATAATGAAAGCTGCCTTGCGACCTCAGATTCATTCTTCTTCCTGTCTTCTCTCCCAGGGTTCTCAAGCCTTTTATTGAAGTCCCAACAAATGCTAGTACTGTGTGTGTGTGTAGAAGATAGAAAGAGGGAGAAACCTATTCATTAGTGGAAATGATACATTATGGCCCTTATTTTTGTTATGTGTTTGAGATAAGCTCATAAGTAAAGAGGAAGCCTGGAATAAGCACTTCCCTAAGGCACAAGGGAATGAGAAGCTATTATGGGAAGATTAGATGGAGTTGATAACCCCAGCGTGGTAAATCTCACTTCACTAAGCTTGGCATTTACCCATCGTGATTTCTCTGAACTGAACTGAAGGCTAGGGTATAACAGATAGGGAGAAAGCCAAAAACTAGAACTTTAAAACAGCTAATGCGGTCTGTAACATGGTAGGAAAACCACGGGACACTTGGTACATGGTACTGAAAAGGCGAGGAGTATCTTCAGAGGGCTCACCCGGGATCTTTCCGCACCTTAGATGGCCATTCAGGGTCTGGGCCTTAGCTTGCAAGCTCAGAAATATTATTTCTCATATATCTAACAGGCTCACAAAAACCACCACATAATAATGAAAATGATAATGGAAGGGGACGACCCTGAGCACAAACATGTACGCATGTAAGAGTCTTTCCATTTCAGTACTTATCAAGTGAATTTTTGTGTTATTTTGTAACTTGTCAAATTTTCTTCTAAAGTGATGGAGTTATGCTCCCACCAATAGTATGCGAAATTTCCCACTATTCTACGTGCCTGTCAACTCTTGGAATGATTAGATTTTCTAATTTTTCTAACATTGTTGGTATAAAATTTTCTTTGCTGCTCACCAAATTTTTTTTGCATCTCAGCTTTATTTGAGACTGCTTTGAATCACAAATTTTAAATCATTTTTATTATATTCTATAAGTTTATTTTGTGCATGAATATCTCTCACCAGTTTGAGCTTCCATTAGTGTTTATTTTCCTGGGGATTATAATATAATGAGTCGCTCTTTTTCTCTTACACATACTCACACAATGTGAATTGTTGTCTTTTCTTGGTCTGTAAATCTCTCCAGAATTTTAAAATTCAGAATCTTCTGCCTTCTTCTTTTGTGAGCTCTACACAATTTCTGCTTTCTTTTTTGTTCTTTGTTCATCCTCTCTAACTTCTTTCACAATTACTGTATTTTATTCCTCTTTGTTCTACATTCTAATTAATTTCATGTCTATATTCCAACCATTAACCTACCTATATTGTTACTTCTGGGAGGTCCTTTTTGGTTATTGTTTTACAAAGTGTCATTATTTATTTGCTTCTTCCCCCCCCCCCCCATTCCTGTTTTTGTTAAAGTTCCATGTGGTAAGACCTGAGACATTTGCTCTAGTTGCCACAGTTTCGCAGATACTGGAAGACAGTATGAACCTCTTGGTTCAGAACAAGTGACTTTATTACTCCGTTAAAACTGTAGCCAGAGTGTGCATATGTTTGTTTTGGTTCCTTTGTCCCAGTTCCTACAAGAGGGACAGAGGGGCCTCAGCATACCTGCATGGGGTATGAGCGCTGATCTGGGGAGTCGTGTTATCATTAGCAGCAGTAAGCAGGCTTGTACTTTGATTTAGTGAAATAAAAAAGCATTGGTGAGTCCTGATTAAGGTCAGTCCTGAATGGTCTGGGTAAAAATTATCTGGGACTTTGAAACACACATAGGAGGCAAGGGAGACCGCAAAACATTTTTTTCCCTAACAGTATTAAATATAATGCTTTTAAAGCTCCAATTGTAATTCTAAAACTGGGTGTGTTATTCTATTCTCTCATCTGTTTGTTTGCCCTCACACAAGGTTTGATTTTGAGCTGAATTTATTTATTTATTTCTGGGGGGAGGGAATGAAAGAAATTTCCTCCAATGAGGATTGCCATTTGTTTCTGGAAGCACTACCAATGGAAAGCCATTTTGTTTATTTTATTGAAAATAGATGTTTTTCATATATTCTGATTAGAGTTTCCCTTCACCCCATTCCTCCTCCCTGATGCCTCCTCTTCCTCCCTCCCCTTTCTGTCTTGTTAGGAAATAAACAGGCCTCTATGGAATGATAATAAAATACAATAAGATAAAACCAAACAAACTGGAATGTGACAGGAAAGTCAAACAAGAGAAAGCACAGAAAATAGGTACCGACACAGAGACACCGTTTATGCACATCAGCTTTCCATAAAAACACAACACTGGAAGCCATAATATGTATGTAAAGGACCTGTAAGGTTAAAATCAAGCGCTGGCATAACATTTTGAGACAAAGCACTTAAAAAGATGCTGTTGCAGTCCTCCGTGTTGGCCACTTAGTTCGGGGCACGCAGCCCTCCCTGAGGAGTGGTTTGTTTCCACAGTGAGGTGAGACTCCCCTGCAGAGGACGAAGTCTTCCTTGGCAAGTGGCTATCAGCTGGAGAGAGCGTCTGCATTAGGGATGAGGGTGTGTGTCTGCTTCTCCTTTAGCTTGAGCACCCCATCTGGTGCAGACCACGCAGGACCTGCACATGCTGCCACTGTCTCTGTGAGTTCATATGGGCACTGGTCCTGCTGTGCTTAGAAGGCCTTGATTCCTGTGTCCTCCATATCCTCTGGCTCTTACACTCTTTCTGCCTCCTCTTCTGCAATTTTCTGTGCCCCAAGGAGAGAGATTTGATGGAGATATCGCTTCTTGGGTTAAGTGTTCCAAGCTATCTCACTCTCTGTGTATTGTCTGGCTGTGGGTCTCTGTGTTTGTTCTCATCTGCTACAGGAGGACGCCTCTCTGATGATGGTTGAGCAAAACACTGATCTATGAGTAAAACAGAATGTCATTAGGAGTCTTTTGACTGATATGTTCCTTTAGCAGAACAGTAGCTTTGGTCCCTGGACTATTTAGTGTCAGGTTTTTGGTCACCCAGGGAATGTTGAGTATGAGTTCCATCTCATAAACTGGGCCTTCATTCAAGCAGATAGAGTTGGTTACTCCCACAAGGCTTGTGCCACTATTCACCAGTAGGTAACAGTTGTAGATCAAAGTGTTTGTAGCTTGATTGGTGTTTACCTTTCTTCTCTGATATCATGCAGAATACCTTGTAGCGCCATGAACACTAGTCCATAGTTGTGAAGATTCTATGTAGGCACTAGCATGAACTCTCCGTGTTCAATGAATTGTGTAGGAATTGTATTCAGCAACCTCAGCCTTACTGTCAGTTGGTGGAGAAACCATCTTGGCAATAGTCTGGGTCTTTTGGGGGTTCCCACGGGACCTCTTAGGCCAAGAACTCAATTAGATGTAACTCATTTCTGGTGCTGGAAGCTTCATTTGGTGACAAGACATAGTCAGTTGGGGTGCTCTCTCCCCCATTATTTGGTGACTTAATTTAGATTTTAAAATGCATATATTTTAGAATATTAGATTTCCTCAGGACACCTCAAATGTCCCTTAGTTTAGTTGTCTCTCCCAGTATTCCCCCCTTTCCCTTTTTATCCTTATCTGGTCCTCCCTATCTAGGACACTCACCCACCTCATTCATCTATAACTATTCTATTTCCCCTTCCATGGAGATCCATCCTTCCCCATCAGTTCCTTCTCTCTACATAAGTTCTGTTAGGCAAAGATGGTAGCTTGCCTATTAATGACTTATTAAACAGCTAACATCCAAATATAAGTGAATAAGTGAATATATACCATACCATATTTGTCTTTCTGGGTCTGAGTTAGCTTACTCAGGATGATTTTTTTTTCTATATGTTTACCTATGAATTTCATGATTTTTAGAAAATGGCTGTGTAATATTCCATTAAGTGAATGTACCATATTTTCTTTATCAGTTCATTTGTTGGTGGAATCTAGGCTGTTTCCAATTTCTGGCTATTATGAATACAAAAACAATGAACATTGTTGAGCAAGTGTCTTTATAGTAGAATGAAGTGTCCTTTGGGTGTGTCCAAGAGCGGTGTGGTGGCTATTCTTGGTTATTAACTTGACCAGCATGGGGAAAACTGGCCATCTTGAAACATGGTGCTAGGTGGGTATGGAGTGGCTTACCCCCACAAAAAAAAATCCATGACTATAAGCATCCATAGATTTCTATCATGTTCACACTGAGTAGTCTGAAAAAATATCAAGCTAAGAACTGACTTTACAGTAGCTTTACACACACACACACCACCACAACAACAACAATAACACCAAAAACCAAAACAAAACAAAACAAAAGACCAAAGCAATAACAACAAAAAAAACCAGGACAGCTAAAATAGCACTCCAGAATAATAAAAGAACTGTGGCGGTATCAGCATCCCTGACCTCAGGTTGTACCACCAAGCTATAGTAATAAAAACAGCAAGGTACTGATACAAAAACAGCCACATTGACCAATGAAATAAAATTGAAGACCCAGAAATAAACCCACACAATTACAGATACCTGAGTTTTGATTGAGAACTAAGAAATACACCTGGGAAAAAAGACATCTGCAATAAATGATGCTGGTCAAACTAGATGGCTGCATGTAGAAAATCCAAATAGATACACACTTATCTCCCTACACAAAAATGAACTCCAAATTTATTAAAAAACTCAACATACACTGGGGGCTGGAGAGATGGCTCACGGGTTAAGAGCACTCACTGGCTGTTCTTCTAGAAGTTCTGAGTTCAATTCCCAGAAACCACATGGTGGCTCACAACCATCTATAATGTGATCTGATGCCCCTTCTTGCATGTAGGTATACATGCAGAT